TTTTGCTGCAGTTTTCTAGTGCCTTTGCATGGTAAGTCTTTTGCATCACGGGGTAGGTGATTTCACCTTTTTGGTGATGACGCAATGGGTTCAGGGTTAGTTGGGCTGCTATCTGGAAAATGTTGGCCGTTCAAGCCCACTAGCTGCTATGCTAGAGAAAAAGGAGGCCTCTGCTTCTATAAAGATTTCCAGGCGTGGAACCTTGGGAGCACTTCTCCTTAGTCCTGCAGGGGAGCATTCGTTGTGTGATCAATTCAAAGGCGGTAGATTTTATTGTAAATGAGATTGTTTCTTGATTTCCTGACTGTTCTTTTTTTTAAATCGTTTTATTAGGGGCTCATACAACTCTTACCACAATCCTTACATACATCAATTGTGTAAAGCGCATTTGTACGTTCATTGCTCTCATCCTCAAAACATTTCCTCTCCACTTAAGCCCCCGGCATTAGGTACTCATTTTTCCCCTCCCTCCCCGCTCCCCCCTCCCTCATGAGCCCTTGATAATTTATAAATGGTTATTTTGTTATATCTTGCCCTGTACGACGTCTCCCTTCACCCACTTTTCTGTTGTCTGTCCCCCAGGGAGGAGGTCACATATAGTTCCTTGTAATCGGTTCCCTTTCCTACCCAGTCTCCCTCTACCCTCCCAGTATTGCTACTCACACCACTGGTCCTGAAGGGCTCATCCGCCCTGGATTCCCTGTATTTCCAGTTCCTATGTGTACCACTGTACATCCTCTGGTCTAGCCAGACTTGCAAGGTCGAATCCGAGTCATGGTAGTGGGAGCGGGGAGGAAACATTTAGGAACTAGAGGAAAGTTGTATTTTTCATCGTTGTTACATCGCACCCTGACTGGCTCATCTCCTCCCCGAGACCCCTCTGCAAGGGGATCTCCAGTGGCCTACTAATGGGCTTTGGGTCTCCACTCCGTACTCCTCCCATCATTCGCTATGGTAAGATTTTTTTGTTCTGATGATGCCTTATACCTGATCCCTTCGACACCTCGTGATTACATAGGCTAGTGTGCTTCTTCCATGTGGGCTTTGTTGCTTCTGAGCTTGATGGCCGCTTGATTACCTTCAAGCCTTTAAGACCCCAGACGCTATACTTTTTGATAGCCGGGCACCATCAGCTTTCTTCGCCACATTTGCTTATGCACCCATTTGTCTTCAGTGATCCGTTCAACACCTCGTGATCACACAGGCTGATATGTTCTTCCATGTGGGATTTATTGCTTCTGAGCTAGATGGATTTCCTGACTGTTCTATGCTGCTCTTGTACCCTGCCACTTTGCTGAATCCTATGAATTCTAGTCCCTTTCTTGTAGAAAATTTGGGACTTTCTATATATAGGATCATATCACCACCAAGTCGGGTTTGCTTTACTTCTTATCCATCTTGACTCTTTTTTTTTTCTCCATCTTGACTCTTTTTGAGTTAACTTTTAATCTACTTTCTTACAAACAGGGCTCCCTTAGATAACATTTTACCTGCAAATGTGGATTTAAGCTCTCTCGCCAAAAAAGGATTGTGTGTTTGTGTGTGAAATACGAAGGCATGTAATAGTAGATACAGAGTAAAATGAACTCCCCATTTACTCATCCAACTGTAACAATTACACACATTTTTTTTGAATCTTGTTTCATTTCCACAGCAACCTGATTCTTTAAGCTAAAATATATTCAAAGCAAATTTCAAACACTATACCAGTTTACTATAATGGCTGTTAAAGCTTTTTATTTTGGAAAATTTCAAACATATGCAAAGTAGAAGGAATCGTATAATCAATCCCCACCACCACCATGTAGCATCTACTTTATAGGTGCCGACAATCTGTACCATCCACACCCCACCAGCCCCATTTCTTTCCGTTACTGGTGTGTGTGTGTGTGTGTGTGGGGGGGTGCTTTGAAGCTAATCCTAGACATCTTAGTCCCTCACATGTAAATACTTCAATAAAGTGTCAACATTTGAGCATGAAAGCACCATAACATGTAGAACTTGGTACTATTTAAAGATGAAAAAAATCATCCCCACTTATCAACTTTTGAGACATTCCAATTTTCCAACACCAGCCCTTTCACTTTGAAGAAGGTAGATTTAAAAATAAAACTACAACTGGTAAACAATATTGGAGCTAAAAGATGTTAGCAATGTATGTGAGACACAGGTGGAATTTCCCCTTCTGTCGTGGTCCTAATGCATGCGTGGTTTCTGTGATAGAAGTCTTCTTTGGTTTCAGCCTCAGTGGTTCTCAGTTGAGGCGCCCTAGAGCTAACTGAAAAGTTGTGAGCCCTTCTGTGGGAGAAAGGTGTGGCAGTCCGCTCTGAGAGGATTATAGCCTGGGAAACCCTACTGGGTACCTCTGCTCTCTGCTCTGGGCTTGCTATGAGTCATCATCAGTTTGACAGCAGTGCTTTTTTGGTGTGCACAACAGGGGACGATTGTACCCGCATACGGCATTTAACAGTATCTGGAGACATACTTGGTTGTGGTGACTGCCTGTAGAGGTCAAAGATCTTGCTAAACAACCTACAGAGCACAGGGTGGTCTCCCAAAGACAAGGTTGAGAAACCCAGGTCAGGGATGTCATTCTCCCTGGAATGGGAGACTTGAAAGAGGCTTCGTGAGCCCTCTCTGAGCCTGATGTGTGAGATTGGGTTATGGCCAGAACATGGGTGCCGCCAGCCGCTGTCTCTGAGCTCCAGATTCAGCAAGCAGGGGATGTGGTCAAGTTGTGATGCATTCAATGCCAGTGTCTTCAAGAGTGAGATTAAGTGTGTAGTGAGTGGGGCTTTACCTTGTCATTTTTCCTGTTCTTGTTATTTCATTTCACCCCAATTTGAAAATGTGGGGTTTGTTCAAGTTTCATTTCCTCCGCCATGGCCAAACCGGGAAGAACCAGTTCAGAGCCCTGATGTTTACTCACAAATCTCGCGGGTTCTTCAACTTTGCCAGGTCCTGCACAATAAACACTGACCAAGGGGACAGACTTGTACTGATGTTTGCAAGTGTTGCATTGAAGGCAAACTCTCCCCGTCCAGAAAATTCTAACTGAAGCGACTTCATTTGGATCATTATTGTATCAGTCATATCAGTAATGATTATTCCAGAAGTCTGTGTAACAAAATATTTATGTAGTTCAGACTGTGCTCCTGAGGAGGGCTTTGTGTGTTAGAGAACTTCCAGAAGCACAACAAGCCCAGCGCTGGTCTGGTGGCAGCTTAAGCACATGTATAGGTGGGAGAGAAGCACACTGGGTAGCCAGGAGCGAAGAGATGAAAGGAAAGGAGGTTGACTAAGAGGGGCTTATGGAATCTGTGCAGACCTGTGTTAGGGTGCTCTTTAGTTGATTAAGACTCGTCCAAAGGGGTTCCTCAGTTGCCATCTTTCTGGGAACGTGTCGCCAGGCCATTCTCCCTCGGAGGTGCTGGGTAGGAACCTCCTCTCGGACTAATGGAAAAGCCCTGGTGACACAGTAGGTTAAGTATTGGGCTGCTGGGAGGGGAAGGAGGCGTGGGAGAGGGGGGTGGGCACAGGGATCAGGTGGGGGGTAAGGAGGTGGGTGTTAGCAAACCCAGGAACAAGGGAACAGCAAGGGATCTAAAATCGATGGCGAGGAGGGGATGGGGTACCTGGTAGGGCTTGATCGAGGACAATGTAACCAAGAGGAATTACTGAAACCTGAATGTAGGTCAAACATGATAGTGGGACAAGAGGAAAGTAAAAGGAAATAAAGGAAAGAACTATGAGGCAAAAAGCATTTATAGAGGTATAAATATATGCGAATATATTTATAACGATAGGGAATAGATCTATGTGCATATATTTATATGTTAAGTATTAAGGTAGCAGACAGACATTGGGCCTCTACTTAAGTAGTCCCTCAATGCAAGAACACTTTGTTCTATTAACCTGGCATTCTGTGATGCTCACCTTCCCAACACAATCACTGAAGACAAAATGGGTGCATAAGCAAATGTGAAGAAAGCTGATGGTGCCTGGCTATCAAAAGATAAGAGCATCTGGGGTCTTAAAGGCTTGAAGATAAACAAGCGGTCATCTAACTGAGAAGCAACAAAACCCACATGGAAGAAGCACACCAGCCTGTGTGATCATGAGGTGTCGATGGGATCAGGTATTGGTCATCAAAGACCCAGAACAAAAAAATCATATCAATGTGAATGAGGGGGAGTACGGAGTGGAGACCCAAAGCCCATCTCTAATTGGACATCCCCTTACAGAATGGTCACAAGGAAGAGATGAGCTAGTCAGGGTGCAGTGAAACAACGATGAAACATTCAACTTTCCTCTAGTTCATTAATGCTTCTCTCCCGGCCCCCCACCCCACTATCATGACTCCAATTCTACCTTATAGACCAGTTCATGTACACAGGACAGATAAGAGCTTGAAACACAGGGCATGCAGGACAGATAAACCCTTCATGACCAATAATGACGGGTAAGGGGAAAGTGGGGGGAGAAAATCGCGATCACAATGATTGACATATTACCCCTTCTCGGGGGACAGACAACAGAAAAGTACATAAAGGGAGACATTGGTCAGTGTAAGATATGAAAAAATAATAATTTATAAATTCTCAAAGGTTTTTGAGGGAGGGAGGGAAAAAATGAACTGATACCAAGGACTCAAGTAGAAAGAAAATGTTTTGAAAATGATGATGGCAACATATGTACAAATGTGCTTGACAAAATGGATATATGTATGGATTGTAATAAGAGCTGTATGAGCCCCCAATAAAATGATTTTTTTTAAAAAGTATTGGGCTGCTAACTACAAGGGCAGTGGTCCAAGTCTACTAGCTGCTCCACAAGAGAAAGGTGAAGCTCTTGGCTCCCTCAAGATTTGCAGTCTCAGTAACCCAACAGAGCAGGTCTCTACCGCGTTCTGTAGAGTTCTCGTGTGTTAGAATCTACTTGATGGCAGTGGGTTTGGTGTGGACTCTGTACTAAGGGTGTGCGAGACAACTGTGAACCACGAAGTTTATTCCAATACTGCTTTTGGCATTTTGGGGACGTAGGGCCGAGTTTGGAGATGGACACTTCCTGCACTGGTTGTGTGACAGGGTCTGAAATCAGAGCCCTGTTAGTTGGGGTCCAGGAACCCAGGTGCCATGTTAATTCTGTGCCTGATCTCTTCCCAGATTACTGATTGCGAAGGTGGATGTGCCGGATAACATGTCCAGTGTGTCTGAGGAGAGAAGGCAAAGGCAGCAAAACATTAAGGAAGGACTGCAGTTTATACAGTAAGCTCCTGAGAAGCTTCATAACCTTGTACTCTTCGTTGGGGGGAGGGGGGTTGGTTTTTAAACAGGGATGAAGAACTCCAGGCGTACTCAGTAGGTCCTATTAACTCAAGCTAGGAAGGTCGGGTACTGGTTCTAGCAGTCGTTTTCACTCTGACGCAGTTGGGATCTCTCTGTGTTCTGAAGCGTGCCCCTGTTGCCAGTTTCTCAGGCTACAGCCCTCTCTCGTCCCCCAAGTGTTTTGAAGCTGATCTCCTCAGAAGCACGGGACGAGTGAATGAAAAGGCCCTGAAAACCATCCGCTTTCGAACAATCAGGCCTCTCCCCCCAGTCCTGTCCCTGGAGAAGTCTGGTCTCTAACTGGACTCCTGGCAGCAAGGGCCTCTCTTCCTTCTTCTCCTCCTTGCCACAGTAAACGAGACCCCATAGTACTGGTGGTGTGGCCCTGTTTGTAAACGTTTTGGGCACTTGAAGAAGGAAGCTTCTTTTGAATAGAAGTACAGTTTGAAAAGGAAATAAGGCATTACTAAGGAATAGTTGCAGATATTTTGTGGTACAGGACAAATGGTAGCCTGCTCCTTATCCACTGCTGTTGAGTCAGATTCCACTCCTTATACAGCAGAGTGGAATGGACAGAATAGGGTTTCTGAAGTGGTAAATTTCTCCAGACGCTGACTGACTGCCACATCACTGTCCTGCGGAGTGACTGGTGGATTTGAACTTGTGACCTTTCCATTAGCAGTGCTACACTTACTCACTCACCACCAGGGCTTCTGGGAATACTGCCAGTAAAAGAGAATGGTGTCTTTAAAATACATTGTGCTTTTAACCAGCGGTGAAAGCAGTGGGTTTGGTTGGGTTTCGCGGCTCGTTACCTCTCAGTTTTGAGGTGGCTGCTGACTGAGCAAGTCCTGACGGGAGCCTGATGGTTACAGTCACTTTCTCCTTTCTCCCTAGGTCTCCGCTGTCTTACCCAGGAACACAGGAGCAGTATGCGGTAATGGCCCTGGGGAGGTCTAAGGAGAGCTCAGCAAATAGCTCATGAACCGTAGTGTACAGTGGGCCAATGGGAAAATTCTGGAAAATGCAAAAAAATGCAGCCCACTGGGTGTTTTTGCAAATAAAGTTTTATTGGAATCCAGCCATGCCCACTGTGTTGCCAGTGGCTGCTTTTGCCGCACAGGGTGGTTGCCACAGAGTGTGAAGATACTCACTCTTTGGCCAGCCCTCGCAGCGAGGCAGATTTGGGTTTTCTTCTCTTGTTTGTATACCTGGATCCTTGCTCTGTATTTTTTTCTCCTTCCATTAATTTGCTCTTTGTTATTTATCTTTTTAGCCTTTTGAAAATTATCCTTTGCCTATTTCATTTCACCAAAAATCAGCAGGAACAGGATGTATCAGAGTGGAGTGGAGAGGGCCTTTGCGGAGGGGGCGGTGGGGCTAAGAGACATTCTGACAGCAGTAATGGGTGTTGGGTCAGGAAGCAAAGAGCTAGTGAAGGGTTTGTGCAAATCCCATGGAGCAATCACAACGCATTGAACTTTCTCTGAAGGCCCACGTCTCTGTAGACTTGGTTCCCCTGGGCTCTTTGTTCCTGAAGTTCTCATGCCTAGATGTCACTTCTTTCTTTCTGTCTCCCTCCCTCCTCTTTATTTAGCCTCCTTTCCCCCGTTTTTCTGTCTCTCTCTTCCAGTGCTGAGCATGTTACTCATACGTTTGTCCAAATGGACGTAGACGCTGCCTGGGTTCTCAGAGTGCTGTGACTTGGCCACTACCCGACTCGGTTGGAAGGCAGCTGGAGATACTGCACAGGAGCCATTCGAGGCTCATGCTCTTGGCTGGGGTCCCAGCCTAGGACTTAGCGTAGACACAGGGTCGAGAGACCCGAACAGAATACCCACAAGGTGCTATTTCAGCATTCTCTTCACCGGGAGATATTGGAACATTCTAGATATTCCACAGTCAGATTGTGCTTAAGTGAGTGATGGACTGGCTACAGAATGTCTCTGTGGAGAGTCTCCAAGGATATTAAGCTTTTTTTTTTTTTTTTTTTGCATTTCCCAGAATTTCCTCTTAAGCATGTGAATGAACAGCTGAGCTAGCAGTGAGTCCGGGCTGGGTGGTCCTGTTTCTTGCAGTCGTGCTTGTGCTTGGTTGAGTTCCCTCTACTGTTTTCTTTTTTTTTTTTTCTGATTTAAAAAACAAACATTTTATTGGGGGCTCATACAACTCTTACCACCATCCATCCATCCATTGTGTCAAGCACATTTGTACATTTGTTGCCATCATCATTCTCAAAACATTTTCGTTCTACTTGAGTCCTTGCTATCAGCTTCTCACTTTCCCCCTCTGTCCCCCACCTTCCATCCCTCCCCTCTGGCGTTTTCGGTGTGCGGAATTGACCCGTAGACCCCCTTGTGCCAGGTGTTTTAAGCAACAACTTTCTGTGTTCAGGTGTACTTGCATGCCCTTGTGAGGAATCTTTTCAATGAGGGCAATGACGTCTACCGGGAGCGGGACTGGAGCGGCTCAGTCAGCCAGTACACAGAAGCCCTGAGCATAGCGGACTACGCCCAGTCGGAGGACATCGCCATCCCCAGGGAGATCCTCGAAAAGCTCTACACAAACCGCGTCGCCTGCTACTCTGCTATGGTGAGTTAGGCGTTTTAAAAATGTTCCTCCAGAGAAAAGTCTTCATCCCAAAGAGGTAATGCATTAATAAAAAGTAAATTGCCCAAAAGTAAATTGACAGTTCTTAGAAGGGCCTGGTGCTTTCAGAAACCATCTTGGGCAGATCCTTAGGGATTTAAAACAAGTGTTTCCCAGCTTTTGATCCCAGGAGATTCGCATGGGCTTTTTCTGGGATACTTTTATCAGGATGGTTACATGGGGGCATGGCAGGTTGCATGTTGGGCTGCTGACTGCAAGGTTAGTCGTTTGAAACCACCAGCTACTTCTTGAGAGAAGCATGAGACTGTCTTTTCCCACAGAGAGCTGCAGTTACAGGCTTGGAGACCCACAGGGCCAGCTCTGTCCTGCCCTCTAGGGTCCCAGTGAGGCGGCATCTACCCCGTGGCAGGGGAGAGAGGCTGTTAGAGAGTCACAGCCTCAGGAACGCGTGGGGCACTCGGCCCTGTCGTGTAGGGTCACAATGAGTAAAAAGTGACTTGGAGGCAGTGCGTCTGGGTCTGTTTATGAAACAGCAGCCTGAGAGGAAACCACATCATGCGTGTCTCCAGGTCAGCAGTGCTTTTCCTTTGATTATGTCTTTGCTGGAAGCTTACCTGCAGGTTAGGTTCCTGTTTGAAAATTTCAGCACAGAATTTTCAGTGGCGTTAGAACTTCCACAGTGTTTTCCAGTCTCTTTAGTTGTGTTCTGTTCCCTTTCTTGTTCTCTGGTAGGCCTGCCCCTGCCTGGTCTTCTCATCTGGGCTGTAGAGTACGTGCTGACCTTTGGGTCTCATAACCTACCTCTGTTGCCATGAAATCAGTTTGGGCTAATAGTGACCCTGTGTGGGGTTTTGGACTCTGAATCTTTTTTGGGAGCAGACAGCTTTCATCTTTCTCCCTCAGAGTGGCTGGTGGGTTTGAACTGTCAACCTTGCAATTAGCAGCCCAGCACTTAGGCTACGGCACCACCAGGGCTCCTTTGTGGTCCTGTATAGATGGTCTCAAGTTAGATGAAGACAGTTCCCTCCTTAAGATTTAGTTTGCCTCTCAGTCCTGGTAACTCCAAACACGGAAACACCTGTGAACGGCCTGACCACGGGCTGTTCCTGTGTCCACTTCCATGTGCTTTGCACTGTGCACATGGGGTCAGGTTTGACCATGGATGTTTTTTCAAAACGAGTTCTTGTTGTCTCTTTTTCAAATGATCATTCATTCATTGGTGGTTGTTCTTTTTATTCTGTATTCCTCCTCAGTTAGCTCTTGGGGAGTTTCATCCTGCAGAAAAGAAAGTTGGGTGGGTGGTGGCAGATCACGGAAAGGAATCTGGGGGCTTAGATCACGTCTGCAGAGTTGGCCTTTCCTTAAAATCTGGGACTTTATGGCCAAATACTAGCATTTTCTTATCTGGGTGGTGGGGTCATAGATATTCATGATACTGCTTCTACTTCAGTGTATTTGAAATTTCGTAGTGAACATACTTTTTTTTAGTGAACATACTTTTAAAATGAAATGCAATGGATACTACCATACTTTGCATTAAAGAGGAGGGGATAGGCTAATGGGTTTGCATTAGTCCAAGGAAGAGCTGGTGACTGCGGACTTGATCTTGCTCTCCAGGGTTTCCACAGCAACGTGTTAGAGGACTGCGAGGCCGTCCTCCGTCTGAATGGCAGTAACTGCAAAGCTCTCTATCGCAAGTCCAAGGCGCTGAGCCATCTGGGAAGATTCAGAGAAGCTTATGACGCAGTGGCCAAGTGCTCCTTAGCCGTGCCTCAGGTATGGATGGACATTTTAGTTCACCGGCTTGCCTTGTTTGTTGACTTGTAAACATTTTATTGCTCCACGTGGGAAAGCGGCATCTAGTGGGTTATTGTTGACGGCGCCTTCCAGCTGCTTCAATTGGCTGTCATTGATGCAGCTAGCGCCGTGACGGGACAAGTTATAACTGCTTTGGTTCTTTATTACTGTTAGTGCATATAACCTTCCATGTGTTAACATTTTCAGGATGAACATGTAATCAAACTAACTCAAGAACTAGCTCAAAAATTGGGATTTAAAATAAGGAAGGCATACGTCAGAGCCGAGGTGAGCTAAAGACTGTATGGAAGGAGTTGTCATTTTACCTCAAACCTGCTGTCGGTCTGTGGTGCTGGCTTTAAACCTATGTCTTCACTTTGTTTCAGCTCTCCTTAGAGTCAGTGCCTGGACATGGGGCTTCCAAGGTAAAGCTATTGCTTCTGCAAGAGCCATCATTTGTAAAACTGAAAAAGTCAAGGTGAACAGACTTGCAAGTCTGCTTCCAATTTTGTGTGTTTGCTTATTTTGGAGATCTTTATAATTCCTCAAGCACATAATTGTCAATAGTTTCCTGTCACCCTAAAAACAAGTATTAGACAGGAGATCATCGAAACATTCTTGGGAAAATGGCATTCTCTTTTAATTCCCTGTTTGTCCACAGGTTTTTGTAAAGCCCTGGTGGTGTGGTGGTTATGCGATGGGCTGCTAGCTGTAAGGCCAGCACTTTGATACACACGCCCCCCACCCCCCACCCCACCCCCGCTTCTCTGAGGGAGGAAGACAGGCCGTTTACTCGAGTAAAGAGTAACAGTCTCAGAAGCCCACAGGGGCAGTTCTACCCTCTCCTGTAGGGTCACCGTGAGTCGGCATCGGTTTGGCTTGTCTCCTTTTAAAGTCTTGGCTGGCTGTCCCCAGAGTCCGGTGCATTTTATAAGATGTTGATAGATAGAAGTATCACAAGCATTTGATAGAATGCTTTGAGACAGCCAACACAAATTCGGGGACTCGTTGGGACATGACAATCTCAGAGAGCTGGTTGCTGTTGTTGCTGACAGGTAGCCCTCTTGGAGCTCTGTGTGCTTCTAGCCGTTAGCAGTTGTGGGGTTGGTAATAGCAGAGCAGACCTCAGACGTGTGGTCTTTGAAAGTCTCTCTTGGGACTGGTGTGCCTCTGAATGTCTTTTGAGAGATGCTGGTCCACAGGGGGTTGTACTGTCAGACAGGGACCTCGTTTGACCCCACTGGCCCACGAACCATCCTTACTTAGGTCCTCATTGGAAGGGAGTTCATTTCCGTGAGAAGCCTGCGTTGTTCTCTTGAGTGAGTTATGTGGCCTGTAGTTTTGAATCCTGGACATACTCTGATCCATTCTTTGGTTTACTTTCTAGGCTTTGAACTGTTCTGTGGAAGATATTGAGCCAGGTACGTCTTTACCTGTTACCAGTCACATCACAGCCCAGAGAGTGACCAAGTGAGGGCGTCTATCCACTACAGCCTCCTTGAGTAAGATCTCTGTGTGGCTTTTCAACATTGAAGTACAAATAACTTTGCAGAGGGCAAAGTGGTGCTTCAGGGTGTCCCCTGATCTATTGTCCCCTGACTGATTGCAGTAAGGATCTCGGAACACCCACGCCAGCCTGCCCACTATCTGATAGCTGAGCCTAAACAGGGGTGCAGGCATTTTAAGAAAGGAGGAGTTCACACAAATGACTATTCCTGGATAACACGAGTTAGTTTTGCCATTGCTCTCAGTACTCTAGTTGTAATTGGCTTGACAGTCGGGTCTGTTTATTTTATTTTTTTCTTTCATGTTTTTGCCTCGGCCTTCACTTTCTCTGTCATAATTGGCTGCTAGCACCTAGCACTAACATACTACTAGACTTAATGTAATGAACAAGTGCCTTTCCTTCCACATTGCAGACTTACTGGCTCCGAGGCAAGAAACTGTGCCAGCTGTTCCTTTACCCGCACCCAGTGTTCCTCATGAAGTTGGGAGTGACCTGACCTCCAGCCCCATCATGCCTCTGGCTTCTCTTTTGCCATTGCAAGTGGAAGAGAGCTCTCTGCCATCCGCAGTGCTGGCCAATGGAGGGAAGGTCCCTTTTTCTATGCCTGAGGCTTTTTTGGATGATGGTGACATGGTCCTTGGTGACGAAATAGATGACCTCCTTGACTCGGCACCAGAGACAAATGAGAGTGTTATGGTAATTTCTGTTCCACCATTACTTCTCAGACCCAACCAAACCACGCCTTCTGCCATCCCGTGGATTCCGACGCATAGAGACACCCTGTCGGGTGGAGGCGAACTGCCCCGTAGGGTTCCCGAGGCTGCCCCGGGATGGAAGCAGACTGTCACATCTCTCTCTGGAGGGCGCTGGCGGGGTCCGATGGCCTACCTTTTGGTGTGTCCCCAGGGCTCCAGCGCAGTGAAAGAGAGGGATGGGACGGGACAGAGGAAGCCCCTCACTGAGGTGGGTTTGTGCAGCCACTGCCGCAGTGGGCTCAAGTACACACACTGTTGTGAGATGGCACAGGACCACGCTCGAGGTGCGATGAGGTAGAACTTCGTGGATTTCTTTTCTTTGGAAGGCATGAGCTAATTTATTTTTTTTTTTTAATGGAAGCGAGATGAACTCCTGAAACTATTGCCTGGAGTAATATTTAAGCCTTAAACTGAACTATCCCCTAGGGTCTTAAAACCAAATAATTGTTTGGCTTCACAGTAACTCCTAGCCACCCCTCAGACCTGAAACCAATCTGACCCTGGGGCTTAGCTTTCAGACCAACAGGCAGCTAAGGGGGACAGTGCCGCCAGTGAATTGTGCGCTCCTCGGAACATGCCGCCCTCCCAGTCCGGGAGGGCAACGTTAGCCTGGTGGCAAACCCTAATTGGGGAAGGGACAGGAAGAAGGGGGAGTAGAAGTACCAGGGCGGCAGTGCTGCAGTCCCAGAGTGGGGGTTGCACCCTGGTCACAATCCGAGATGTGTCTGAACTGCAGCATGGAAAACCATTTCCTCCGTAAAAGGTTCATTCAGATCACAATGAAAAGTTTAAAAACACAAAAAGGATGGTTGTCTCGGGCATCGTGCACGTCCTTCATCACGTGCTGGAGAGCTAATTCAAGATGCTGAGCTGTCTGAAGAACCTGGCAGAAACAACAACAAGAACCTGGTATTGGCCTGGAGGGAAGATTCACCATGCAGATGACATGGCCTTACTTGCTGAAAGTGAAGAGGACTTTGAAGTGCATGCTGATGAAGAAGAAGACTACTGCTTTCAGTGTGGGTTGCAACTCAATGGAGAGAACACAGGTGCTCCCAAATGGACCCGGAAGCAACATTGTGATGGAAAGATGGGACTTAGCACACATTCATGTTACTCAGCTCCACAATCCAGAGTCAAATGACATTACTTTGGGCAAATGTGCTGCAAAATATCTCTTTCAAGCAAAGATACCATTTTGGGGAGGACTAAGGTGCACCAGGCACAAGTCATGGTGTTTTCAATTGCTTCATATGTATGTGAAGAGTGAACAGTTTATTAGGAAGACTTGATACATTTAAGTTACAGTGTTGGTAAAGAATATTGACCTGACTGCCAGAAGACCAAACGAATTTGTCTTGGACAAAGTTAACAGAATACTCCTTAGAGAGGACCTCGTCCTTAGTAACGGGCCGTGGAGCAGAGGAAGACCTTTAATGAGATGGTTGGTTAACAGTGGCATTGTGAGGAAACATGTTATCAGTGCCATTGCATTGAACATGTAGAAGTTGCTGAGTTGTCTATGCTCAAAAACAAAACCAAAGTAAATTATTGCAACTAAAAAGCAGATAGGCCTGGGTTTGGTCAAAACATCTGTGACAAAACACTGTGTGGAAAGTCTTCACATGTACAGTTTTCTAACATGGGCTGTGCTTATATTGCCCTGAATTTGCTTGTGAATAGCTCTGTGATCTTGGGCAAGTTCCTCACTTCTCAGAACTCCAGTTTCCTCCTGTGTAGAATCGTGATTGCCCTAGGATATGCTTAGGGAGCAGTAAAGATTGCATATGGGGTAGCACAGTGTAAAGCTCGTGTACTATGGCTGTGACTTGGACAGGATGGGGGCCTGGTTAGAATTCTAGTCTGTGTGAGATTTTATGTTTATGTCTCCAGAGAGGCGATCCACACCTTGAAAGGCTCCTCCTCGCCCCATCACACCCACCCCTCCTTTATAATTGGTGGCAGAGTGGATTACACATTGGGCTGTCAGGTTTCCAGTTTGAACCCTCCAGCTGTTCTGCAGGAGAAAGATGAGGCTTTCTGCCCATGGGCAGCTCTGTACTGTCCTATAGGGTCACTATGAGTTGGCATCAATTCAAGACTGAGTGACTGAGAATTCTTATGAACTATGGTCTGGAGACGAAGGGATCACAAAGTTATGTGGTTGAAATCTGAATATGGCATTAGGATCAAGAATTGTGCATGCGAAAAAATGTTGAAGTGGCATAGATACATATATGCACACACAGTTGTGAGGATGGCCAGTGTTTCATTCTGTTCATAGGGTCGTATGGATCGGGGCCCACTCAATGGCGTCACCACCACCAACAACATGTAGACTTAACACACACAACCCAAAGACATCAGTCATCCCTCGGTCTTTTTTAAGAACTGGGCTTCTTCTCTTCCTGAGTTAATTTCCTTTTCTTTAAATTGTTGTGAAAATATACAAAAGTAAGCCCAAATTTTCCGTGTATATTGACCATCTTCACATTGGGTATGTACCAACCTCAAGTACCACCTTCTCCATAAACTGCCTGAGTTGTGTTTGGTTGCAGCTTTGTGATGTACCACAACTCCCTAATGCAAGATTATTTAAAATAGGACCGTGGTGTGTTTGCTGCGAAGAGTTTACATAGGACCTTAGTGTCCCCTCCAGCACTTGCTGCCCTCATGTTTCAGTGACCCTGGACATTGGCACTTCTCTGCTGGGGGCTTCATCTCATCTAATTTCCCTGACCCCTTCCACTTGCACGTCTGCTGTCAAGTAACTGTTGACCCTAGAGGTGACTTTCAAAGAGGACTAGCACTTACGGGTGATACTCTTGCATTTTGGAGCCAATCATTTAGGGTGACCTTGGGAGTTTGTACAAGTATCTCAGGGCCATGGTCTTGGGGAGCCCTTCCGGCTCAGTCAGTCCAGTGAGTCTTGCTTGTTTGGGAATTTGGGGTTCCCTTCCGTTGGTTCTCTTTGCGGATCCATTTTTGGGGCCCCTTGTAATGATTGGTTTGACGCTTTCACCTGCCCACGGCAGATCTGCAGCAAATGTCAATGCTCCTCTTTTTCTCCAGCCATCGGCACTCGTCAGAGGACCCCTCCCGATGGCCAGCGCTGTGTCTCCAAGCATCTTTTCAGCATCTCTGTTGGGAACCTTGCACATGGGTGCAAGGTTTGCACCTCCATCCTCCTTCTCCGAATTGTATGCCCCTCTGACGTCATCCTTAGAAGATTTCTGTTCTTCTTTGAATTCATTTTCAATGAGCGAGTCCAAACGAGGTGAGCATCGTGCCAGAACTGTAAATGGTTGCATTGTGTAATTGAAAACAAAAATTTGTACCTGACAATCTTTCCTTGGATTCTGGGTAGTAGGTGCTAAAATTGCTTCCCATGTTGCTGACATTCTGAAGGCTGAGCCTTTGCCTCACCTTCCCTGGGATGGAAACCGTGCCGTCCACGGAAGCAGGATGCAAACGCCAGAGTAGGGATGTTCGCAGCCCCATTTCTGTTAAAGAGAGTTTGTCAAGCTGGGTGTCTCTTGATTTGTAAAGTACCCTCCAAGAAAAGTAGATCCCAACGGGTCTTCAAGACAGGCTATCCTTTGAAAACCCGGACCAGCAAGCCCTTGAGTGAGCATCGAGTGAAGTCATGGGAACCCTCCACCAAGCTCGTAGATTGTGCCTCGTGCCTTTCTCTTATAAGGGGTTGCAGGTTCTACACTCTGACAACCTTGAATGAATGCATACTTTTGAAAAATAGGGGGCTTTTAAATCTCTTTGGGAAAGTGGAATGAAAAGATAGTGGTATTTTTCAACGAACTTTTTGAAGCCCCCTCACTTTTTCTTCTGAGGCTCTGGTGCCTGATTAATGGGACCCAGTCTAAGTAATTGATCGAAAACATTAATATTCTGGGAGGCAAGAGAGAGGGGAAATGATAGAGTGGTGGACTGAAAAAGTGGTTTAATGCCCTGACTGAGACCCTGCTCCATTATTTTTCAGAGAGGCTCTTTGCCCGTTTTGAATGTGAATTATTAGTTCCTTGATTTTTTAACTGGGAGAAAGATGAGGCTTTCTACTCCTGTAAAGAGAGTTACAGTGTATAACCCACAAGGGCAGTTCTACCCTGTCCTAGAGGGTCACTGTGAGTCGGCCTCAGCTCGATGGCCAGGAGTGTGATTTTTGGCTGTCCTTTTAACCGGCCCTTTAGAGGGGCTTGCCTTGGCTTATATTGGATTGAAATTCTTTTGCCTGGGGGTTGTTTATGCCTTTGGATTTTTAGAGAAAATGCAAAACCTCCCCTAACTGTCTCAGGGTGTTAGTGAACAAGCAAGCTCCCGGAGTTGGGATGGGGGAGCCCTGTGGGGAAATCCCCTGCCCAGTAAGCTGCTGGCGCCTGATGTTCTGACTGAATGTGGAGAATGGAAACGTTCTATTGAAGTTTTTTTATTATTTTAGATCTGCCCACCTCAACTTCTAGAGAGGGAACACCGCTTAACAACAGTAATTCTTCCCTTTTACTTGTAAGTGCCACTTCTTTTTTGTAAATACCTCGCTTAAATGGAAAACAGGTCTTTGACTTAAGTAAACTGACTTATTTGTACAAACCTGACCGGTTCCCTTAAATTTTGTGTGTGCCATGGGAAATCGTTTTGAAAGACTCACCAGGGACATCGAGTAGGAGCACTGAAGATGGGATGGTCCCGACCTTAGTCTGTGGAAGTGTCATGATTTCAGATGACTTCTGTTTCCTGCTGTAGCAGCAGTACAATATGTGTTGGCTGTGTTTTGTTTTATTTCTCATTCCTCTTGCAGATGAATGGACCAGGTAGTTTGTTTGCTCCTGAGAGTTTCCTGGGAATTTCAAGTCAGTCTAGAAATGACTTTGGAAACTTTTTTGGATGTGCAGTTACTAAGCCGTCTGCATCAGTGATACCAAGACATCCCCTTGAAGGAACCCATGAATTGAGACAAGCTTGCCAGATCTGTTTTACAAAAACAGGTCAGGAGCAAACAAAGTCGCAGATAGTGTGTTAACCTCATGAATCACCTGGAAGTTCTTCTGAATTTGTAAATACGCGTGAAAAACGCCAGCCTCGGGCAACTCTTCCGCCCCTGTTTTGTTGGGTTCTTCTTTCCAGCGGAGTGACTTTGCCCAGTTGTGGGGTGTTTGGAAGCTATGAGGACGAGTCTCTGCTCTTACTTGAGATCATCTTACTTATAGCATCGTCTGTCATTGATCATGTACCTGATTTTGAAAGCTTTTGCCATTCTTTGGTTCTAAGAATGTGTAAAATAATTTGATATTTTTCCAGTAGATCTAAAAGGACTATATATATATTTCTTAAGCACTATACATGAGTGTATAACAATGCTTATGAGATATATATATACATATATTCATAATAGATGAAAAGCTTATGAAAATTAAAACATTTTCTGTTAGCTTATTTTCATAACTAAATTAAGTGGTATGATCACCATTTTCTGAATCAGAATCAGCTTCCTCTTCTTTCTTAATTTTGTATTGACCATGGTTTTTACATTTGTAAGCCATGAGAATTCTGATCTGATAATTCTCCTAGTTGTTAACTAAATGCACCCTTTGGGAGGTCTGGTGCGGATTAGAACTTTTTGTTTTCTGACAACACTAGGGAAACAGCAAGCATGTCTTGGAGCAGCTAGCTCACATTGTGAAAATGAGACGCTGGTGGGAATTTAGCAGTTAATGTACATATACGTATGCCTCTGTCTACTTGTAAATGTACCTGTAAAATGAAAACCATTACTTTTGCATATGAGCAAATCCTCTTTACATCTTTTTCAGGCCCTAAGTTAATGGATTTCACTTACAATGGTAATATAGATCATAAATGTAAGAAAGATATTTTAATTGGTAGGATAAAGAACGCTGAAGATAAATCTTGGAAAAAAATACGTTCACGACCAACAAAAACAAATTATGAGGGACCATATTATATATGTAAAGGTATTTACTTTATTTACTTCATAGCACACATTACGTAGTGATGAATGACCTGCTACCTTTGTTCCGTGTACAGCATTAACTGTTACTTAAAATGTTTAGACAGTTAGAAGCAAGCTCCTTGGATTGAGAGATGTGTCTGTTTTATATCATCTTTGCTATTCTTTTTAAGATCTTCTGTAGTGTGGGGTTGTTTATGGAAGCAGGGCTTTCCTGGGTTTTAAACAGGAAGCTGTCTCAAACATGAAGTTCTCCAACTTAGTCTAAACTATGACTATGAACACTGAACTACGACTTTGAAAATGTTCCTGTTTCAGCCGCTTTTGAGAGATCACTTCATGCAAATGAGGGGTGCTTATCTCTACTTGATCTTTAAAACAGTTCTTTTTATTTTGTTCTTGATCATACACACAGTAAGACCCCCGCTGGGCCTACAATGCTGGCCTGTATGATCAGTGGCCACTGGAGGAGTGCAACCATTCCTGCATTCCCACCCTCCCTTTTGAGCCCTTCCGTTCCTCCTAATCTGATCCTCTGGCCCTATAAGTTCCTGTCTGAATTCCCCACTGGCTGTTGTCCATTTGATCCACACAAAGATCTTACAAGAGCACAGTGCTCAGGGCAGGCTTTTTTTTTCCCCCCTAGTTAAGCTAAATGATTTTTTTGTTTTAAGAAGACTTCAAGGGCTATTTTTGGTGTATGGTTTTAAGATGATCTCACTCAGGGCAGTAGTCTCAGAAAGTCATGTAGACTCCATAGGTCCAGAAAGTCTGGGTTTCACGAGCATCTAAAGAGTCAATATGCACTTTATTGGTTAAAGCCATTTGTGTGAATTGTGAGGAAAATTCACTGATTCCCCAAACATGTTTATTATTTATTGACTTTGAAACAACAATCACCTGCATTTTGAATGCCTTCTATTTCCCGATCTTTCTATCTAGATGTTGCCGCTGAGGAAGAATGTAGATATTCAGGCCACTGCACGTTTGCTTATTGTCAAGAAGAGATTGATGTCTGGACGCTGGAGCGCAAAGGGGCCTTCAGCCGAGAAGCGTTCTTTGGTGGCAGTGGGACGATGAGCCTGACAGTGTTCAGGCTTCTGCAAGAGCACCGTGGAGAATTCATCTTCCTTTGTGAGGTACTTTCCCCAAGATGGTTTCTGGCTTGTAAGCATGTGCAGCTGAAGTACTTAGTCCGGGCATAGAACATAGCAAGCATTCAAAAGTTCACTCAGTAGGTGGTAGCTACGATGATCGTCAAATAAGAAGCCCTGATGGCACAGTGGTTAGGCACGTGCCTGCTAGCTGGAAGGTTGGCTGCTCTGGGAGGAGAAGAGGAGGCTGTCTGCTGCAGAAAGGGTGCCGGCCTGGGACACCCTCGGGCAGTGGTACTCCGTCCTGTAGAGTCTCTGAGTCAGAGTCCACTCTCAAGACACACAACAGCAGCATTATTGCCAATAGAATAATATCCAGGCTACATTTTGAATATCAGTTGTACTAAGCACACTTGCACATATGCTACCAGTAACATTTCCAAAATGTGTTCTTTCTGCCTGAGCCCTTGGTATCAGCTCTTCTTTTTTCCCCTCCCCCCCCTTCCATCCTCATGAATCCTTGATCAATTATATATTATTGTTGTTATTTCATGTCTTACACTGTCCGTTGTCTCCCTTCACCCACATTTGTGTTATTCGTCCCCCCTGTGGGGTGGGCTATCTATCCAACCTTGTGATGGGTTCCCCCTTTCTTCCCCTCCCCCAACATTGATATTTTGTATGATGTTTTTGTGATGATCCCTCTTCTCTGTCTATTTCAGAAATGTTTTGATCATAAGCCTAGAATGATAAGTAAAAGAAATAAAGATAATTCTACTTCCTGTTCTCATCCAGTTACAAAGCATGAATTTGAAGACAATAAGTATGTTGGCAGTTTCTAATTTTTATAGTGACAAAATAGATCTTTTTTGGATAAGTAAAATTGGTGAAGCATCACAGCCCCCACCCCCAACATTTTTTTGTTCTTAGTGTGTGGAAGAAGGACAGCTTAAAAATGCCTCTAGATTTAACTGGAATAAGAGATAAATGATTGCAGTGATTACTTAACACAGAAAAGAATTATTAACTTAAAAAATACTGTTTTATAGCTTGCTAGGATGGGGGCTTACATATTGTGCGGCTTAAGGGGATTTAAATTATCTCCCACTGCATCTTCAGTTAACTCAGCAGCTGCATTCTTTTTGATAAATATTTAAGTCGTATTCTCAGTCTAGAATCTGACTTTCTAGTTTTCTTCCTTTTTTTTAATTTGTAAAACTTACAGGAGAGCTGTGTTAAACCTTTCCTTCTCATCCTCACCTTAGGTGCCTTGTCCACATTTTGCGAGAGACCACAGTAAAATACTGCAAAATCCGTGCTTTTCATGGTCAATGTCAGCTTGATTTGTGTCGACACGAAGTCCGTTACGGCTGCTTAAGGGAAGATGAGTGCTTTTACGCACACAGCCTTGTGGAGCTGAAGGTCTGGACGATGCAGAATGAAACCGGTAGGTGTGTGCGAGACTTGTGCGAGGCCGTGTCTGCTCAGGAGCAGCCAGGGGTGGATGCATGTAATTCAGAGCCCTCCTCCACCCACCGCAAGTGACAGCACTGCTGTTCTCGGTGGCTGTACGCTTGACTCCCTGTGGTAGAGGAGAGCACTCCCCACAGGTGTTCCTGCGCTGCGCTTGTCAGTGCTCCCCTGTGGAGCCGAGGGGTGGGCTCAGACTGTCAGCCTTTCAGGTGACTGTGTGCACTTAGACCCTGTGCCTCCAGGGCTCTTTGAAACTGTGTAACCTACTGCCATGGAGTTGATGCTAACTTATAGTGACCCTCTAGGTCCAAGCAGAGCTGCTCCTGAGAGTTTCTGAGCCTACACACCTTTAGGGGATCAAACAGCCTCATCTTTTCTCTAAGGAGCAGCTGGTAGGTTTGAGTCATTAAGCTTGCTGCAAACAGCTTACCACCTAACTCACTATACCACCGCATCTTAAAAATCCGACTACCATCGAGTCAATTCACTTTAAAGCAACCCTATAGGCAGAGGAGAATTGGGTTCTGAGGTTGTAAAACGATTAGAGCAGATAGCCTCACCTTTCTCCCGTAGAGTTACTGGCGTCCTTGAACCACGTACCTTGCTACTCACCACCCAGTGCTTATCCCAAGAAGAGACCACACTCACTGCCATTGCATTGATTCTAACTCATATCCACCCTATAGGACTGCCCCTTGTGAGTTTCTGACACTGTAACTCTGTACAGGAGTAGAAAGCCCCTTCTTTCTCCTGAAGAGTGGCTGGTGGATTCAAACTGCAGACCTTGGGGATCGCAACCCAACTTGTAACCACTACGCCACTGGGCTCCTCTAATGTGCCACTAGGGCTGGCTCCCTTTAAACTATGCAATCACTTCATTTTTAGAGTTCCCTATTTTCAGTGTAGGCTCATGCCATTAATTATTAATCCCATCTTATGTGTGTTGTATGGATTTCTGGGGAAGAAAGATTGCTCAGAAGGCGTAGAGAGGTGTACTTATAAATACTCTCTTAAAAAAAAGCAGTGTGATCTTCCTTCGATCCTTCATTCGAAGAAGCCCCTGGTGGCGTAGTGGGTTATGCATTGGGCTACTAACTGCAAGGTCAATGATTCAAAACCACCAGCCACTGCTGGAAAAAGATGAAGTTTTCTATTTCTGTAAAGAGTTGTAGTCTTGGAAACCCACAGTTCTGCCCTGTTCTGTAGAGTCTGTATGGGTCAGAATCAGCTCGATGGCAGTGAGTTTTTGGTTTCTTGATCTTCATTCATCCTTGGCAATGGCTTAGAAGGACCAGAAGCTTCATGATCTGTGCTGTCCATCTAAAGGAAGCCTTCTGCCTCTCCCAGGTATCCAACACGAGGCTATTGCTCAAGAATCAAAACGATATTGGCAAAACTTGGAAGCCACCGTGCCAGGGGCTCAGGTATTCTCTTGTGTGCTTCTTGCATTTGGGCTCTTTCTAGAACTGCCTAATGGAGACTGATTGTTGGTGGGTCAGTTAATTCTCAGCACCTAGCTAGTGTCTTAATGTTTAATGAATCCATTTCTGTGTGAAAAGAAAAGCTTCTGCATTTTGATTGCTTGTTTTACTAAAGAGATAATCCTTAACCTCCCCACAATTCTTTGCAAGAATGGAAGATCCTTTTTGTCCCCAGCCTAAATGGGCAAAATAATTGGGGCCCTGGGGCTTTGGATTGTGTTGGGGTAAGGGAGGTCGGTGGTATTTTGGTTTTGTGTCATTTTGCTTCCTGACTGTCATGGCTTGCTTATGCAGCACCGTCCCCCCCACACCTAGTCAGTACTGCCGAAGTTGACTTTGATTTCAGCCACGCTGTGCTACCTGGAACCTGCTTTGTCCCTCTTCTCTGGCGCTTGGGGACCAGTTGGAATTTCAGTTATCACAGAGTATACTCAAATCAGCCAGCCAGAGGAATGAATACTGGAAGAATGTTTGTGTTATTGTGAAGAAAGAAAGGGAAGGAGGGAAGGAAGGAAAAAATCTTAGCAGCTCCAAAAACAAAAGATGGGATTCATTATTTTATCCTCAGAAATCTAGTTTCCTGTTAAAAATTAAAGCTGCCCTTTTGATTGTTTAAGGTGTTTGGCCATGAAATAATGCCTGGACCTCTTCAGATGAAGATAAAGTTTGTATGTGGCCATTGTCTGCGGAACGGCCAAGTCATCGAGCCGGACAAAAACAGGAAATACTGTAGTGCAAAAGCAAGACACTCGTAAGTGATCCGAGTGGAAGGCCTGTTCTGAGCTAGAAAGACGGCGTGGAGGAACAGTGGAGAGTGCACCGCACGGGAGCAGAGCGATGCGATTTGATAGCTAGGGTTCCACTGGGTTCTTTCTTGTCTGATTGGTCCTTTAGTTAGGATTCCTCGGGAGTGAGTATAAATAGCAGCATGGACTGTAGTGATCACAGAACCTGAGGCGCCTCTCTTAGAAGGGTGAGAGGACATATTCTTGGCTCCTGCAGGTAGGAGTTTGGTCCCCTGTCCTCTATTATGCCTTCTGCTGGTGTGTGTGTGTGTGTGTGTTCTGAACTCCGTTTTCCTTAGGTGGACCAAAGACCGGCGTGCCATGAGAGTGATGTCTTTTGAACGTAAGAAGTGGATGAACATCCGTCCTCTCCCCACAAAGAAGCAAATGCCGTTGCAGTTTGATGTACATACGTAACTTTTAAGCCACTTTATTTTTCTTTTCCAATTAAGTGTTTTGAGTCATTAGGACTCAGTAGTGATTCATAGTACGACGACTCGGGCCTTTTAAATAACACTCACCAGTCACCCGGACATTTCATTAGTTCCACTCTTGTTTTTTCCCCATGCTATGCTTCTGTGATTGATTTCCCTTGACAGCAGTTTTATGAGTTAGCTGGGCAATGTTAATTTTATAGGTAAAGGAATCCAGACAAAGTCATGAGCATCATTGAACTTGCTTTTCTGATGAATCTCTTTGGAGAGGGCCTGAAAGAGAATTTGATTTCAGTCCGTTTTGAGTCCTCACTCTGAAATGGAACCTGAGGCCTTCCATGCTATGCATGTCGTTGAGTTTGTCTTCATTACACTTGGTTTCTTTCACTGAACCCCAGTGGAGAGCAGCTCAAGGGTACCTGATGTGATAGGACTTTGTCAAAGTAACCTTAAGGAGGAGGATCCCTTAGGACCCGCTAGATCAGTGGTTCTCAACCTTCCTAATGCTGCAGCCCTTTAATACAGTTCCTCATGTTGTGGTGACCCCCCCCCCCCCCAACCATATGATTATTTTGGTTGCTACTTCATAACTGTAATTTTGCTACTGTTATGAATCGGGCAACCCCTGTGAAAGGGTCGTCCAAAAGGGTTGCGACCCACAGGGTGAGAACCACTGTACTAGATGGAAACACCAGGCTAAGGGCATAGTCTACCATGGCCTTTGCATCCGGGCACACTCCAGGTGATGGTGCATGGTCTTGCCCACACCATTTGAATGGGCCCTGGATCGTCCCTCCTCATGAAAGAGCCTAGAGCTGGGTGAGTTATGGACAGGGGCACCTGAGGCATCAGTAGGTTGTGAACTTGCTGCCATGCCGAAGGACATGGAGAGGACCCTGGGCCAGGGAAGCAGTGCAGATGACTTGTCAGAGCTGCCTCGAGGGATCCACCATGCAAATTGATTGTATCAGGGCTTGGTTAAAAGTGGCGTGACAGCAGTTCTAGTTTACCTGGCCCAGGTCAGCTGGCAGTTCTTGACCCTTGGGCATGCTGTTAAGCTGTGCAAAACCCAGCTGATTTCGTTTTTTTCTACCAGAACAGGTATTGCTTAGGGAATCCCTTTCCTAGAAGACAGAGTACTGTGTGTGTGTGCACAGAGAGATTGTGTGAGGTGGGCACATGGCGCAGTGTGTCAGAAGGGCGGCAGTGCAGTGCCTCAGCCTCACTGTCTGAGTCTGTAAGTGGAAAGTACTCCACTAGAGAGAAGGTGACAGAGGACAAGTCTCTGGACCCAGCACACGGCCCCACTCCTCTGCCTGTTCTTGAGCCTGCCTCTCCAGAGCCCCAAGTAAAGGATTCCCTGGCTGATACCTGACTGGGTGCTTCGCCAGTGCTTAGCAAGGGAAAGAGCCTAACATTAAGTCCAGGGAGGGCTTACTCATGACTGAAGATTTTAAGGGCTAAGGTAACTTTTAAGTTTTAGCAGAAACAAATGCTAAGCATTTTAGTCTGTGTAAGAGAAGGAAGGTAACAACTAAGACACACCACCACGTAGCTGTTGGAGATTGGCGTCCATCTCAAGAAAGTTGTGTTGTGATATCTGGGACTCCCGCACTCCCAGAGACAACGGAGGCTGGCTTGGTTTTCAGGGAATCTGCAGCCTGCTGGTCCCTGACTCCCTTGTTTCCTTCCAGTATCACTGGTTTTATTTTGCTTCATGAAAATACAACAAACAGGAAGAGAGATACTGGTTGGAAGCTCTGTAACCTAACAGCCTGGTTAGTGTACTAATAATTTTCATATCTAGTGAGTTATGAAAGGATCGCCGGTGGTGCATTGATTCAGCTGCAAACCACAAGGTCTGTGGTTCAAACCCACCAGCTGCTCTGAGGGGTGAGGAAAGACCAGGTAGTCTACTCCCCTGAAAATGACAGTGTAGGAAACCCCAGGAGGCAGTTCTGCTCTGTCGAGTCAGACTCTTTGTAAGTCAAGCTGACTGGATGGCACACACCAACCGTGAGCTGTGACGGAAGCTAGCCGCCTTTGTGGGTCAGAAGGCAGGTCAGTCTTGGAGCCTGTCCCGGCAGCATGTGTAACATCGGAGTAGTCAGCTGCGTTCTGTACTGCCTCCCCAGTGCCGGCAGGAAGGGGAGTGCACGGCCTCGAGGGCAGAGGTTCCAGGTGCAGAGAGAAAATGGGCAGGGATGCTGAGGCAGCGGGTTCCCAGATGTTTTCTCAAGAGAGAATGTTCTGTGCTCCAATTCCATTCTTCACTTTCTTTTAAACATGTTATTTCTTTTGATAGCATTTGGTGATAGGAGAACTTAATTAATATCTCATGTTGGGCCTAGAGTTCATCTCAGTGGGATCAAATGAATCTTAGAACTGTACTGTGGATCCTTAGCCTGACCAAAAGTGATTATTCTGCCAAGATATAAAAATCAGTCCATTTTAATAAGGGTAGTCTGTCTTAAATACCTTTTTTTTTTTTTTTTTAATATAGCTGTGTAATCACGTGGCCTCTGGGAAAAAATGTCAGTATATTGGGAACTGTTCCTTTGCCCACAGCCCCGAGGAACGAGAAGTGTGGACTTACATGAAAGAGAATGGAAGTGAGTCAATGTTCTAACTGTGTCTTTGACATCTGTGTGTCCTTGCTCCTCCGAAGGTTTCTTTCCTCTGGGAACGAGGTCGCTGGCTTACCATAGACACAAAGCACTTGCCGTTGTAGAATAACTCTGTAGGTGGCGCTGGTTTTCCTGGACCTGGGGCCTTTGCCTCTGGAGTAGAATGGCGTCTCACCTGTGCTTGCTTTGGTCAGATCCGAGTGTTGGTACCGTATACAATCGTATATAAGCCGAGTTTTTTCAGCACAATTTTAATGCTGTTTTTGTGGTAAAATTAGGTGCCTCAGCTGAAATTCGGATTGGCTTATATTCGAGTATATACAGTATGTGGGTGTGCATTGTGTGATGTAACGTGTTTCTAGAAAATGGTCTGGGTCGTGGTTCTTCCTTCGCTATTTAAGCCAGACCATTCCCTCTTGTTTGAATAACCAAATCCACATTGTCATCGAGTTAACTCCAACTCAGAGTGACCCTATAGGACAGAGTCGAATTGTGCTATAGGGCTCTCAAGGCGGGAATCCTTATGACAGCAGACCACCTCGTCTTTCTCCCTCAGAGAAGCTGGTAACTTTGAACCACCAACCTTTCAGTTAGCAGCCAAGTGCTTAACTACTGTGCCACCAGCTCTCCCAGTAGTTGTGACTCATCAGACTCATTCCACTAAATTAATCTGATTTAGAGTAACTGGGGTGTCTTCAGGACAACCTCATTGAAAGGTCCGAGAGATCTTGCTGAGATTTCAGTCTTTTACTTTTGAGGTTTAGTATTAAGGTAGCAGAAGGACATTGAGCCTCCACTCAAGTACTCCCTCAACGCAAGAATACTTTCTTCTATTAAATTGGCATTCTCTGATGCTCACCTTCCCGATACAACCGCTGAAGACAAAGCGGGTGAATAAGCAAATGTGGTGAAGAAAG